TATTGATCCTGCAGCATGCCAAATCTTGAAATGCCCAAACCTATCTATCTGCCATCACAGAAGACCAATTTGTCTTGAATGTTAACTAAACTTTTGAAAATTTGTTCTATATCACAAAGCTGAAGGCTTAAACAGAAAGAGAGAAATGGTACCAATTCACCAGTGAAGATAGTAGCAAACGCATCAGCAACTTGGCCAGAGAGCATAACAATGGCTGCATCTCTACATAAAGGAATGAAAAAATGAAACTTGATTATCACAATTCACAAATTAGGGAGACGAAATTATATGGAATTTAAGATGAAATTTTCACCTTGGGGAGAGACCGATTTGGGTCAAGAAGAGGAGGAGGTAAGTGAACCAACAAGAAGCAGTAATGTCGTTTAGCATATGCCCAACTCCGTAGTAGAACACAGACCATCTTCCAATTGGCTTTGTGAACGGATCCTCCTCACTCCCTCCGGCCATTTCTCAATCGCTTCCAAATTTGCAGCAAAAATTGAGGGTTTTTTTATATCAATCTCGACCTGAGAAGCCATAATCGAATTCGCATCAGCAACAAAAGGAAGGGGAATTGAGATTTTTGAAACCTAATTTTGGAGAGAAAAGTAAAAATAGGAACTTTCAGACCTAGAAAACAGAGGAAAGGGGAAATTTCAGAAACAAAAATGAAATTAAAGGAAGGAGCTTTTTTCGTACCCTAAACCCAGAATCAACTAGAAATCAAACCCACGAAATGAGAGATTGATTTTGAAGCTTCCTCAAAAGCAACATATATTTTTCCCCAAAAGGAGGGAAAAAATGGCATGAATAAGACAGGGAGAAGCTTGTTTCAGTTTGTACACTCTTCCCACTTACCCCAATAACTTTATTACAACCTCATTATGTGCTCATACGACGTTTTCTTTGGTTGATTAGTTGTGATAATTATAAAATCTTGGTTGGATACTGGAAGAAGAAAAAAATGAATAAAGTTTTAGTGGTTGGAGAGAGAAGGAGAAAGAACATTCTGAGATAAGTCATGCGGTCATGTTTGGTTATTTTTCCAGATTTGGTTATGGCTAAATTTTGGAATTTTGCTAAGCAAAGATAAGTGGATAGGTGGAAATGTTTAAGATAATTTGTTAGAGTCAGAGATTCTTTAGAAAATCAGAAATCTTTCTGCTCGTTGTTTGTTGTCAACTGGAATCTATTAATTTCTGGCCCATACTCTCTTGGAAACGGTGATTGTGATTGTGTCTTTCTTTTTTTTTTGTTTGAGGTTTTATTGCTTACACGATAAGGCACGTTGCAGCAGCGTTTTAAAAAAGACACCGAAAAAGAGAGAGAGAGAGAGACGCAAATTACACGAAACAAATCTGTTGAGAAAATAAAATGATCGTCGCCTGAGAGATTCGAACTCTCGCGGGGAAACCCCATGTACTTAGCAGGCACACGCCTTAACCACTCGGCCAAAGCGACTTTTGATGTTTGCATCCATTTTACATTATTTCAACTTGTCTCTATGTTTGCTAGAGTTTTGTCATCACATCTTACTGATATTCATATACTTATAACTTTATTTGCAACACAAGATGATGGACTGATGGTACTAACTATATCTTCAATTTTTGAAATAATGACACTACAACATACAAGACTACAGTTAACTCTATTCAACAGTACGTCTATATTTACATAAGATGCAGAAACACGTCTTTTTTATTAACTTCAAGACCAATAAGGCAATAACACACTCAATAAACGATTTGACAAAACAACAAGCTTACATTTCATTGTTTAGAGATAAAAGGGCAACACTGTTTTAACTTTTAAGTGGAAAACAAATTGTAAGTGCAAAGAAGACTTTATAGAGAACAGAGAGATAGACCCACTACCAAACCTTCTGTATAAAGCCAAGTAAATGGTGGGCCCTTTCAAACCAACTTTAATCCATTCACTTTTAAACAAATAAAAGGCCTTCACATTCAAAGGCTACAAACCAATCATGTATCCATTATCACTCCACAACCACTAATTTCCTTCGCATTCTTTTTTCATTTCTCACTCACATTTTTCACAACCACCACGAAATCTCAAATGTCATCTTCCACAACTACCACCACCACCGTCCACGGCGATCCTGATCGGCGAACTTACTGGTGTCACGAATGTGATATGAGTCTATCCCTCCTCTCTTCATCCTCCGCTTCCTCTCCTCTATTGTGTCCTCAATGTCGCGTCGATTTCCTCGACCGTATGGATGACGAATCTTCCCCTACTCTCTTTGACGTCACCATCGGCGATTTCGAAGAAGAAGAAGATGGAGAACAGGGAGACGAAGACGACGAGGAGGATTGGTGTTTCGTTGATCCGACGGTTAATTCCGATGACAATTTCCTCCTCGATAGCCCTTACCTCCACCGTCTTCTCCGCCATCTCGCATCCGAGAATTCCGGATCGTCTTCTTCCTCTTCTTCCTCTGCTTCATCGTTATTGAAATCTTCGGATATCGATTCGATTCCTACGATCCAGATCTCGTCGTCCATGCTCTGTTCAGCCGATTGCTCAGATCCCGATCCGGATTCCGTTTTACTCTGCGCCGTTTGCAAAGAGGATTTCGTCGTCGGAGAATCCGCTCGGAGATTGCCGTGTAGCCATATATACCACTCCGGTTGCATCGTCCCTTGGCTATCGGATCACAACTCGTGTCCGCTCTGCCGATTCGAGCTCCCCACGGCGGCGAAAGTGGAAACTGGTGGCTCAGAGGCTGAGATGAGGATCCGATTGTCGGGTCTGGCTGCGATTGCCGACGGAGATGAGGAGGAAGACGACTGGCTTGGGATCAGAAACGCGTTGAGGCGACTTGCTCGTCGCCACGAGCAGATGAGATTGGGAGTGGGAGAGATGGAGAGAAATCTGGCTCGAACGGTTTCAGGTCTGGAAAATGCTATGAGAAGGGAAGAGATCGAAGGAGAGAGAAGCAACCCAACGCCATTGTAAGAACAGCTTTAAGCTTTCAATTATTGGCAAAGATTTCAAAATCAAATAAGCGTGTGTGTTCTTGAGTTGTTTTTTTTACTTTCTCGGCTCTCTGTTTACTTTACAGATTCGGCTTTTTTTTTAATCGATTCTTGATTATAATTACAGAAACGAGAGTTGTTTTTTAGTCAAATCAGGGGTCTCTTATTTCGATGCAATAATCGATGAAATAAACGTAAAGGTGATGATTGTTCTACGTTTTTCACTTCTCGAGTATTACTCCGACGAGGTTATAGTTAATTTCACTTTATTGGAAAAAATGGTTACTTAATCTTCTACCGTATAATTCGATATGCTTTGGATCTTATGGTTTACGTTATGCCAAGGATCATAATCAAGAACCTACTTCTACTCTAATTTTACTACGATGTGCATTGGATTGGATCTTATACTTTACCAACGAAAATCCTCAATTTAGTTAACTCGCGAAATCATCCATTTCTATATCTTAACCAAAAAAAAAAAAAAAAATCGTTTATTTGAGCCAAAAATTGGTTGATCAAATAGCTGTCTTAAAGAAACAAGAATATCAAACCGGTACATGTTGACATGTAGTTGTATGAGAGGGCTGAAATATCGATACAACATGTTCTGGTCTCTTAGTTCGAGGAAACTATTGGCTTCATATATATTCAGTCTAAGAATTTGTTGGAAATGTTCATGATCAAATGATTTTGTTTTGTTTGTTTTTTCTCATCTTAATTAATTGTATTTACATGGTACCTACCTACTTCTTAGTTTTTCGTTCTTAGTATAGAGGTTTTTTAATTTTGTCCTACCAGTATGAGGATTGAGATGATGAAGTCTACAATCCCGCGTATCAACATTAAACAATGACTGAGAAAATATGTTTTCCTATCCTTAACAAAATATCAGACAGCTACTTACTACATACAAATGTCAAATCTCTAGGAAATTTATATAACAAAACACGCTTATAACTATTTTCTATGAATTAAATAAAATTTGACCTTTAACTCGGTTGATGCAACATTCAAGTAGTGAAAAAAAGAAAACAACTCAACTGATGTAAGTATAATAATATTTTTTTCTAATTGGATGATGAATTTGTGTGACCTCTCCGTATGATTATCGGCCGTGTTTCTAAACCAAACAAAAAGCATTGCACGTGCAAGGTTGAAGCACATATCACGTGCGACGAGTATCTGTCGTGTGTTCGTTAAGTTATTAGTAGGTCCACACAGAAAGTGCTGTTTGGTCGTTTTTTATCTAATCCGTGTCCCATACAATAGAGAAGGTCTAACTTATATACGTCACATATGTGACGATGTTTACAATTACCGCAGACTATAAACAATTACATATTCCCTTTTACTTGAAAAAAATGGTCTGTTTTTTTATATAGATATTTTCACAGCTAGAAGAAACACTATTCCGAGAAAGCAGAAGCCATATAAGATGAATTATGCCGACAACCCTATTAACAAATTCGTAAACAAAACAAAGTCAAATTCGCATCCAATGGTAAAGCCGATGTGCTAAGTCAACCCCACCAAATCATAAAATAAAACATCGCTCACGCCATCTACTTTACGTTTTTTACTTATTTATTTATTAACTTTAATATGCCAAGTTGGAAACTTTAAAAATCATTTAATTTCGATGGCGTAAAAGAAACAAATAATTCTCTTGGAAAAATTACTGTTTATTTAAATCCATTTGCTATATGTGTCATGGAAGGCAGGTCCATAGCTATTTCCATCTCTGTTTCTTACTATTTTCATATTCAGCTGTTGTTACTTAACTAATCGATGTTTTTGACCTATCAACAATAATATTGTATTTAATTGCATATATTCTATTTATCTTATCAACAATTTTTTTGTGTATATATACAGACGCATATAATCCAAAACATATGCATATTATATCTTGAAACAATACAAGAAACCTCAAACAAATCCAACAAAAAAAACAAAACCCAAACCTTTTCTTTTGTCTGAATGGTGAGAGATTCAATGAAGGCTGAGTACGATCTTGATCATCTTCCTCATCAAAGCTTCTACGGAATGGTGAGAGATTCAATGAAGGCTGAGTACGATCTTGATCATCTTCCTCATCAAAGCTTCTACGGAAATTATTCAAAAACTTTGGTTCCCATAAACAAAAACTCCCAAATAATTACCAAGGTCAAGCCCAAGATCCGTATCATCCATATATTTGCTCCGGAGATCATCAACACCGACGTCAAGAACTTCCGTACACTTGTCCAAAGTCTAACCGGTAAACCGGATATCACCAAAACCGGTACTAAAAAAAAGATAACCCAAACAAAATTTCCGGCGCCTCCGCCACCACCTCAAGAAACCGGCCATGAGACGGCGGAGATGGTCAACATGTTAATAGGAAGCCACGCGGTAAAGGAAGAATGGGGATCAGGTTCGAACCCAAACACATACTTTAATTTAGAGGGTTTAATCGATCTTGATGAAGACGACGACATATTCTCAAGTCGATGGTTTGATATTCAAGACCAATAAATTAAACTCGATCGGCCAAACCTTGCTCTAATCTCTAGTGTTTCTACTAATATCGTGATTCCTATTGGTTCTGATGATTTAATCATGCGTTTTCGTTATATGGGAAATTAAAAGACATGGTTGAGGCATTGACCATTACACCAAAGAACAAATTGGTGCAGGCATATGGACCATATCGTGGATACACGAGGTTGAAACGATGATAATCTGTATAATGGGGTGGTGGGTATATACATAATTTGAGCTTGATTTAACTTTGGTTAGGACATAGACTTTGTGCCCAAGATTGGAAGACCATATGTTCAAATCATCGAGTTTTACTTATGGGTTTGTTCCTAGACTGACTTTCTGCCTAGTAAATGTAGAGAGTATGGGAGTCAGAGGTTTTCCTATTAACTCTAGTGTAAATCTCCCATGTTTGGAATAAATATGGACGTCATTGTAAAAAACTCAACTTTCACATACATAAGTAACTTTTGCCAAGAGAGAGTAAGTCTGAGTTTTGATCTCCGATCATGTAAAAACTCAACTTAAAATTGGTGCAACACTTTGTACTCACGCATGCGTGTGTTAATTCTTTTGATGTAATTGTGATTGACTTTAGCGTTGCTCAAGTTTATATATATTGTGATTGACTTTAGCGTTGCTCAAGTTTATATATATAAAAACGTGAGAGTGAAATTGCGATTGAGTTTTATTTGTTTTGTTTTCATTGAGGAAAAATGATTGAAATGATAACTAACAGAATGACGAATTTCAAACCCTGGCACTATCGAACCAAATATTTTATAGTCTCAGAAGTTATCAACCATACATGTGCATTTATGTCTTTTATGAAAACATATACACGTATTATTTGCATGGCTTATTTTACTTTGTCCCAACCAAAAAATGTTTATCTAAACCACAGATATATTTTTTTTAACGTTAATAACTTTATTTTACCTAGCTAGCAACAATAAGCTACGGTTTTTTCATTGTTTTTTCAAATTTCTTTGTTACACAAAACAATGGAAAAAAGATACTTCCTACAAAACAAAATGGAAATATGACACTTTGTAAAAAATGAAGGAAATCGTAGTTTCAAAGCATGGGTCATCACGTGTTTCATGCGGAGATACACAGGTCATTTTGTGTTGAACGAAACATCAAATGTAATTATTTAATTTGTGTTTGTTTCTCAAATCTTTCTCTTTAAAGGTATAAAGTGTGATTTTGGTGCACTTATTTTTTTGGTATTCTTATTTGAAAAATTAACATGAATGTGGAAAAGCATTGTGGTAGGCGTGCTTGCCTCCAACATGACGCTGGCAAAATCAATTTATCCATTGCTAGAACTATGCTACTCGTGAATGTGCTATAGTCGAAAAACCTGGCCCTGGCAGGCGTGAAATTGGGCATGGTTAGTTTTTTGGTTTCATTTGTATGTTTTGCCATCGTTTTTTCCTTTTCAAATTGTGTTTTACATGTGATGCAGGAGCACTTGCTGAGAAAGCATTGCTTGCACACGTTATGGTGTGACAGCAATTCAGTTGGACATGAAGCTACATAGAATTCCACTCAAGATACTTTGTGAATCTTTTGGTACAGGCACTTGAAGCCCGTCTACACATTCTTGACCATATGGAGAGACATATTAGTTCTCCACGGATGCCTGCCTAGTCGCCTCTCATAGCATATTATCTCGTTGTGATTTTTGAAACTGATTGGTGGTAATTTTGTTTTTTTCTTTGCTTTCGTATTTCGACTCTCCTTCTCTCTGGTCTTGAGATTTACTTCTTATTTCTTGCATTTACAGTACTTACTTAACCAATGCCTATAATATAAATATAATTATTATTTTATTTCCAGTTTTGTCCGACATGTTTCGGTTCTTCGTTTGGTATATAAAAAGGCATTTATTGTGTAACCTTTTAACACGTAGCCATTTCAAACCCATTCTTAGCATTCTGATAGTCCTCATAAGCCACATCGATCTCTGCCTGTGAATTCATCACAAACGGACCCGACTGAACAACAGCCTCACCGATCGGTTCCCCTGCAATCAACAGAAACCTCAACGGCTTTGACGTTGACTTGTTCCACACGCTAACTAAATCCCCAACTCCAAACACAACAACATGGTGCCCCGATATAGCGGAAGAGTTCAAGGAACCGAACACACCTTCGTCGCCATCTATAATGTAGGCGAAAGCGGTCTGGTGAGTTTGAGATCCTGGTTTGAGGGTAAAGTCAAGGTACATGATTGGTGTTGTTGTGTAGAAAGGAGATTTAATTCCCATTGACTCTCCAGCTATGACTTTGACCACTACTCCCATCTTTTGCTGCTCTTGGAATCTCTGAACTCGATAGCTCTAGGTTCTTTGGCTCGATCCCGTCGAAAATAAAAGAAGAAAGAGATTCAAATTTGGACATCAAATCATTCAGAAATATCTCAAAGTTCATGATAATGAAGAATTTGTCTCTTTTACATTCTGTGAATGGAAGGGACTAGGGAGGTTGATCCAAAGCTGTAAGCCGTCGTTGATTTCTTATTCAGGAGACTCAGAATGAATGATTCCTCTTCCTGCTGTCATCCACTGTCAAATCAAAACCAAAACTGAGTGAAACCAGAAACCTCCGAGAGGATTTGTTGTTGTTCTTTTTTTTATGTTACCTGGACATCTCCGGCTCTGATTGTTCTTTTATCACCTTTGAGAAATTTGTGAATGATACCTCCCTGCGTAAATTTAAAACCATTTTCGAAAGTCGTTAGAACCTTGGAATCAAGGTTCAGGAATCGTATCTATGGAGAAGATGGAAGAGTCTTTCTCTCACCTGTAGTATGTATGTAACACTTTCAAAACCTGCACAGAGTTTATCTAATTACATCAGAGACATTACAGAAACAGAGTAGGCTTTGTGTACGTAATATGTATATGCGTGTGTGAGAAGGTATCGTTGATATTGACCTCGGTGAGGATGATCCGGGAATCCAGCTGAAAGCGAAACTGATCAAGAAACAGAGCAAAACAGAGCAAATAAATGGCTGTTTCTAGATTATTGTATATTTGTAAACATCAAACATTTGGAATTTGAGGGGGAGGAAGAAATTTACAGGAAAATTCCAATTGCAACTCGAACGGGTCCAATAACTTGTGGTCAATCCTGTATTAACCCGAAAAGAGAAACATAACTTGAAGCTGAAGCAACTTGGTTTAAATGAGAAAGTTTTGATAAAGAAAGAAAAAAAGAAAAACTCACTCTGTGATGGCATTTCTACCGAGAGTCCCTTCGAATTCATTCTCAATTCTCAACATTTGCGAAAACTTTCTTGATTACTTGTCTCGGTACGCTATTACTGTCGGAAGAACCTGACATGGCGATAATGATAAACTCTTCTTCTTCTTTCTAAATTTTTGTTTTTGAAAGTAAAACGACGAAAAGCTTTTTGCTTGTTAATGGAGGAAGTTAGTTCTGTATTTGTTTTGTGTCGTGGTGTGTGTGTGTGTATAAATGTTTAACGAATGATTAAAAATGTTTCATAGTTGGAAAATAATCGAAAGAATATTTGCGTTCACACTAGTAAATAAATAGGCTGACAGGCCACGTCTGTGGCTCAGGTACATGACACGTGAAAACATTTGCACGTGTATATGAAAGTCGTATGCGTGCGGTCTGCGGATTTGATATTTATAATTCAATTAACAGGTGTTTTTTTTTTTTTTTTTTTGTTAAAGGGCCTTCACAATTAACAGGTGTTTTTGAACTGAAAGTCCCAACATCGCAACATTAGCATTAACATTCACTTTTCACGTTCTGTTTAATTCAAGCAGCAATTAAGAAATCATCAGATTTTAGCTATTTGGTTTGTTTATATTAGTCATCATGCGTCTGTTTACACATTCGCATATACTGTATATGAGACTTAACTGTATTTAATTTGTTTTTTCTATTGGAAATCCGATTGTGACCGGTAACGGGAAATCAGAACTATATTATTTCCATAACAATCTAAAAACTGAAAACAATAACTAAATAATAATTCGCAATGTCTTATCTTGAGTGGCGACAAGGTCTTAACCATAATGTTTTTCATTGGGGGTGTTCACACTACATCTAATGTATTTTTTTTTTTTGGTAAGGTACATCTAATGTATTTTAAACGACTCAAAACCTAACTTTCTGATTAATTGAAATGAATAATGATATTTAAAGAAAACTTGTTCGTTGTCATGCGACGTTTAACAATAATAATGGCGGCTTAACCAGCTAATAAGACAATTTTAATATTCTTTATTGTCAGGCTCTAATAAACAAAAATAAAATTAAAACTGAATATTATTAAACCTCATCAATCACATGTTGTAGTTGTTGTATACTCTAAAGTATGGTGGATGATTGATGTCCGCTCCAAGTATGAACATACGAAACATTATATTCCAAGACATAAATATAACATCACACAGAATGATTTGACAGTACTGCAGAGAGAGAGAGCGATGTAGAATGCACTACTGCAGAGAATCGACTGAAAAGTTTCAGTTGTCGGTGAAGGGAAGTGGGTCCCATGGGTTTCTTGTATGGAGTGTGGGGACCAACGGTGGTTATTGCTGAATTGCGAATCCCGGATCAAGTGTACGTTCTCTTTTTACTTTCCCAAAACCAAAATTTGTCCACTTTCTATAAATTTATTAAAATTTTATTCAAGTAGCGTAAAATGAATTGACAACACTAACAAAATTTCACGTCCTATTACTGTATTAATTTATTTATTATCCGATTCTTATTATTTGAGTCCCTACGTTGATAAGATGCCAATCAGAGAACTAACTTCCTCCATTAACAAGCAAAAAGCTTTTCGTCGTTTTACATTCAAACCAAAAAAAAATAGAAAGAAGAAGAAGAGTGTCATCATTATATCGCCATGTCAGGTTCTTCCGACAGTAATAGCATACCGAGACAAGTAATCAAGAAATTTTTCGCAAAGCTTGAGAATGAATTCGAAGGGACTCTCGCTAGAAATGCCATCACTGAGTGAGTTTTTTTTTTTTCTTTCTCAAAATTCTCTCAGTAAAATGAAGTTGCTTCAGCTTCAAGTTATGTTTCTCGCTTAACATTAAAACCAACAAAAACAAAAGTTACGTTTCTCTTTTCGGGTTATTACAGGACTGACCACAAGTTATTGGACCCGTTCGTGTTGCTAGTTGAATTTTCTTGTAAATTTCTTCCTAAATTCCAAACTTTTTTGACGTTTATAAATCTATACGATAATCTAATCAACAGCCATTTATTTGCTCTGTTTCTTGATCAGTTTCGCTTTCAGCTGGATTCCCAGATCATCCTCACCGAGGTCAATATCATCGATACCTTCTTACACACGCATATACATATACGTACACAAAGCCTACTCTGTTTCTGTAATGTCTCTGACGTAATTGGATCAACTCTGTGCAGGTTTTGAAAGTGTTACATACATACTACAGGTGAGAGGAAGAGTCTTCCATCTTCTCCATAGATACGATTCTTGAACCTTGATTCCAAGGTTCTAACGACTTTCGAAAATGGTTTTAAATCAACGCTCTTCATGACAGGGATTTCAGATTTAGCTAAAACAGAGATACTTGATCAATTCCCATTTGATTCAGGTACTCTCTTTCGCATGGAGACTTGAGCTCATTGGTTCAGTTATTATGAGCACTACAAATTTTTGGATTTCAGCTTTTAGACTACCAAAGAGGCGTGTATAAGATTGAACAAGCTGCAAGCGGTATTCACATTAAACAGATCTGAGTGGATCCATGAAAAAGCATTGACAGATTCACGTGGGTTCGATTTTCCAATGCAATCTCGTCTTCTCGTTTCTTTGATTAGGTTGATTGATTCCAGTGAGCGTGAAGCAGCTTGGAACTCCGGCGAGCTCGGATCTTGTTACTGTTTAGCGTCGGAGATTGGCGTGGTGTTTCTTCGTTTTCTGGTGCTAGGCTGAAACAGAGTGGAGAGAGAGTATTGAGGATCCAATGGACGATTCTACTGATCAGCTCGTAAGTGTCGAATTCCTTTTTTACTTGATGCGCTTTTAGCTAGGGCCCACAATTTCTGATTACTGATGATGATGAATTTGTGCATTTCCAAGAGCGTGATTTTACCGGAAGTGATTAGTTGGGAGTGATTGATATGAACTCGCACGTGGTGGAATCACAAGAGCTTTTTGATCGGTTAAGAACCCTAAAGTCGGTTAATGTTGATGGTGTTATGTTATGGTTAGAGGCTCATACTCCACAGCTCTATAATTGGAGACTCTTTCAGATGATACGTAAGCTTGGACCTTAAGTTACAGGTATTCATCATATATTAGTGGAATGATATGAATAGACTTATACCTAAACAACTGTTTCCCATGTTATTGACTTGTATTGGCTTCAAGAATGTGGATGTTATATTGGAGATGATGTGCATATACAACTCCCTGAGTGGGTGAGAGAAATTGGTCAAAGCGATCCTTATTCCTGACATATACTTCACTGACAGAGCAAAGGGTTTTAAGAGGAAGAACTGCTCTGGAGGTTTTGATTCCTGCTCTATGCTCAAAGAATCTGTAGCATGTTATCATAGGAAGAATGATTTAGTTTTAGGTAATGATATTGTAGGTTTACTTTGATTGCATGCCAAGTTTTCGTGTGGAATTTGATGAATTCTTTGAGGGTAAATTCACCACTGAAAATCGAAGTTGGACTAGGTCCATGCGGGGAGCTGAGGTATTGGTGAATTCCAGCTACTCTTTTTTTTTATGGATCATACATAATAAGCATATACAAAATCTTCCATTGCTATTAAGACCACACTAGTTTATTAGTTTACTCACGGATTTTTCAACTCTGTTGTGCTGTCTACTGTGTGAGCTACAGAGCTTTCTCCTTCGTTTGTATCATGGAATGTTCCATATGACGGTGATGGTAGCAGAGCAGCCGCCTTCATTATAGCCGCGTTGTATTATTCATTGCTTCTTCTTTGCTCTATACGATCTTGTTTAAAGTTTGTGTTCGTTAGTTTCACATACAATATTTTATGAGAGAATCAGAGATAACTTGTCGTACACTTTATCAAAACGACTCGTCTCATTATTGACTTTTGAAATTGAATTTCGGCCCCAAATTGTTGTTTAAAAATACGTTTATCGTTTTAGTGTCTTGAGTTACGTTTTACTTCTCTAATTTTATTTTACTTCGAGTTTTGTATTATTTATTTCCCATCATATCACTATAAGTTAACATTATTCATAACTTAGCACTATAAGATTATATCACTCACTCACCCTAATCCACTTTATAAAGAAAAGAAGAGCTATAAGAGTGCTCCCAACTACGTGAAGCTATTTCTTGAATATCTTAACTTCCACCTTGACTGAAGGGCTCCCCTATATAATGAAACTACAGAGTAAGACTTAAAATCATCATGAATGTAGAAACAAAAAAAAAACTAAATTCTGGAATGGAAAAGCAATATTACCAAAAGCCTAAAATCTTTGGACTTGTAAAGCATGCACACGGTGTTCACATGCAATCAATTGACATCATTTTGCAGCAATTTTAAAATTGTTAAGTGTATGTTACGAATCCCTCCACCATTTTCATTTTGTTTTGGATTTGTAAGTGTATGTTGACTAAAGAATGTTTAAGATTTTATTAACCAGGTTAATTATCGAGAGAAGCAAAACAGAAAAGGGAAGTTTACACAGCGGGAACAGTTATGTTGCCGGCTTATTGATAGGCCAATCAGACCTTTGTTTCCTTCATGGTTTTATGTTGTTTCTCTGAGGCTGGCTCATCCAGAGGTATGTTTGTCTACTTTGTTAGATTCTCTAGGACAATGTAAGATTCTATATTGTCTGATATATCATTGCTTACACATGCTGTTAAGTTCATCGATCCCAAATAAGATTGGCTGCAAAAGCTGGGAAACAAAAGAGGGAGTACAAATTGTCCATGCTTTGTGAGAGATTTTTAGAAAAAGTGACTCACTTTGCTGCAACGCCTATGAAATCTGTCTTTGCTGATTCTGATTATCACAAGGTACTTTGATCCTTCATATCACAAGGTACTTTGATTCTTCCTTGTTCGCTCTTGCCTTATGTCAAGAGTAACTATTGTCAACTGAGAGTCTTGCAATCGAAACCACCTTGTCTCGGTCAAGGTTTGATTTTAGTTTTGTCAAATTAAATATTAATATTGGTTTAGAATTTAGAGTTTTCTTAGGTACTTCATTCAATGATGAAATCAGAGGGATTTAGAATGGACGGGAGACGTCTCGACGAGGTTAGACCCATGCTTTCTGAAGTGCACTACCTACCTATATTAAAGATACACTAGTTCGTGTTCAGAAAATCCGAATATTCAAAATGTTAGCAATGCCATTAATATGTACACTTTATCACTTCCATGAGTTGCTTAAGCTTAGGAAAAGCAATATTACCAAAAACCTAACATATTTGGACTCATAAAGCATGCACAGACAGTGCACATGCATTCAATTGACATTAGTGCAATCTTTAGAATAACTTTATTGGATCCAACACACAATTCTTCGGAAAATGATGGGTATGAATAGGGAGATAGACAAGGTCCAGAGGAATGGGAACTCCTCTAGTTAGTTTGTAGGAAATGTATTTTTTTTTTCCATTTTTTGTGTAACAAAGAGATTAAAAACTAGGATTTCTTTGTTTTTTCAGCGAATTTGGCATCTCATCAACGTAGGGACTCATATAATAAGAATGTGAAAAAAAATTTAGTGTTTTCAAAATAATTCATTTTATGCTACTTAAATAAAATTTTGATAAATTAATAGAAAGTGGTAAAAAAATTGTTTTGGGAAAATAAAAAGAGAACGTACACTTTATTTAATGGATTCACAATTCAGCAAAAATCACCGTTGGTCCCACACTCCATACAACAAACCCGTGGGATCCACTCTTCCTCACCTTCATATCAAATCCGCGCGCATACGACTTCAGATACGTGCACATGTTTCACGTGTCATGTACCTGAGGTACACACGTGACCTGCGTCATCTTTAGCTTTGAATGGAACGGCAGAACCAATGCAGATATAAAGCAGACAGTTACAAATACAGATTGATCTGTATTAAGTTGCCAATCACCAATTTAATTACAGATCGAAAATAAATGCAGAGCAAAAAAATAGCCTACATACAGACGAAAATACACTTGTAAATTTTGGCCTGCAGTAAATGAGTCAAAAACCACCAGTTCACATACAGATCAGATTTTCTCTCTCTCACAAATTAACTAATTTAAAAATGTGATTTATAATTTATAATTAAGACATTTATCATTCTAAAAATCTCTTAAAAAATTAACACATTAAAATAAGACTAAAATCTAAAATATCTAAATAAATTTAGTTTTATTTTGATTGAGATTATATCAGAAAAAATTACAATATAACTATATAAGGTTTAAACTAACTACATATATATCATATATATATATTAAGTGGTATATAACATTATAAATCAGTATAATGAATTTTTGTAAGGTATTTTATAAATTATATTTTAATTGTAAATATTTATGAAAAAAAAACAAATTACATCTACATAAAATGTGGAAAATAGAAAAAAAAAACATGAGAAGAAAATGTTACTCGAATCCGACTCAAAATCGACCGGTTATCTGAAAGATCCAAATATATATATATGTATTAGTTTTTTGGATACTTTGGATATACCAAACACTTTAATTTTTTAGGATATTTTTTAGTTAGTCACAGATTCTCAGGTAAATTTTTGGTTTTTAAAGATTCGGATTTTAAATATATTTTTTTGTGTATTTTAGATTTTTGGTTAATAAATACTTGAACCAGCTCAAAATTGGCTGAAATCAAAAAAAATCAGGTATTTATTGGTTTTCTAAAATTAATAATTGAACCGATCATCTTTCGGTTTTTCTATAAGTATAAAATTTATTGTCCGAATGACCGGAAACTTAAATAACAAATCTGTAACAAACATAAAACCTGAAATATTTATAATATTTTTATATTATATATTTGATCTATATTTATTCTGCATTTGTTCTTGATCTGTATTTGTTTTATATGATATGTATTTACTGTTTGATCTGCATATTTTGATCTGTGTCACCATTCATATTTTCGTTCACATTACTTATTTACTAGTGTGAACGAAAATATGTTTCGATTAATTTCCAATTGGTCTTTCAAATGAATCATAATCACCGTTGGTCCCACACTCCATACAAGAAACCATGGGACCCACTCCTCTTCACCTACAACTTTCAGTTTCAATCGATTCTCTGCAGCAGTGCATTCTACATCGCTCTCTCTAAAATCTATATATACACACACACACACACACATACACGCCACAAACCAGATACAGAGAACTAACTTCCTCCATTAACAAGCAAAAAGCTTTTCGTCGTTTTACATTCAAACCAAAAAAAAATAGAAAGAAGAAGAAGGGTTTATCATTATCGCCATGTCAGGTTCTTCCGGCAGTAATAGCGTACCGAGACAAGTAGTCAAGAAAGCTTTCGCAAAGCTTGAGAATGAATTCGAAGGGACTCTCGCTATAAATGCCATCACTGAGTGAGTTTTTTTCTTTTTCTTTCTTTCCCAAAATTTTCGCAGTAAAATGAAGTTGCTTGAGCTTCAAGTTACGTTTCTCTTTTCGGGTTATTACAGGATTGACCACAAGTTATTGGACCCGTTCGTATTGCTAGTTGAATTTTCTTGTAAATTTCTTCCTAAAGTTCCAAATTTTTTTGATGTTTACAAATCTATACGATAATCTAAGCAACAGCCATTTATTTGCTCTGTTTCTTGATCAGTTTCACTTTCAGATGGATTCCTCTCTACGCTTCCTCGTTCCATTCGTTTTGAAGAATGATGTTTCGGTCTCGAGTCGTGAGTAGATTTAGATTGCAACTTTTTTGTTTTAATAAAATTC